ATGAATAAAAGTAGACCATTTACAGATTAAAATGATGTACTACACTTACGTGTATGATCAAACATGACGACGCATTTTAAGTTCTTTTCACGGTTACCAGAAAAAAATGCAAGTGTCCCCGCCGGCGGGTCCGCCGACTCCTAAGGGTTAAAGGTCATTATACACATGTAAAACTAAGGAGAAGGCACATTTCAGGTGGGCAATTTACACGTTTAATCTGCACGAAGGACCTTGTGCACTGGTCCCAAATGACGGATGACTTTAAATGGGTGAGCACTGCTATCCTGTTGCTGTGATGATGGATTTTATATCATGAGATCCAGTTGGGAGAGCTTTTACTGAGGGTGGACAGGCACTGAGTGAAATGCAAAGCATGGAAAACAGGCCAGAGCAGTAACTCCAGGCATTAATAGTAGAGCAGGGCAGTTGCTTGAACATTCAAATCAGTGTTGGTCAGACTGAAAACTTGTGCTTGGAATCGGTTGCTGTATTTTTCACGACTGTATACAGAACTCCCTCGACCTTCTTCTCGTCCTTCTGTGAGCGTACACTGTGATCTCGTTTGTACCTTGTTGGCCAGTTCTGATCTGGTTTGGCGCGGAACTGTGTCCTATAAGTCTGGCAGAGCTACTTTACTCTTCTGGGACTCTCTCCTGTTACTTTAGCTGTCTGGAGGCTGCTTCTTTGCCAGAATGCATAAGCCGCTGGCACGCGTGCTTTGTCACTGGGTGGCCTGATCTTCTGGGCCTCAGTGTACCTTTTAAGGTGTGTCCTTCAGTTGTTTTTGTCAATGGTTCTTTCACTATTCTATTCGAAGGAGACTATCTTGATGCCTGGTCCATTGCTCCTCTGTACAAACAACTTGCATCTCTCATCCCTTTATTCCTATTGTATCTGTAAATTCAGGTACAGTTTGTCCATATATTCTTCCTACACTTTATAATATTAATATGGTAATTACCACAGTAATTGCACTGGCACACTCACCCCAGTACTGATTATTTATATTCACACTCGGCAAGACAAATGGCAGATGCATTGAGAATTCAGTCACTTTATGAAAGTCTGACTGCAATCGGCAGAGAATGTGTCCCTGGTCATGTCTGTCACATGCTGAACGACAATTTATCACAAAAAGAAAGGTTACCAAAGTCAGACAGTATATGCTTTTTATGAAGTTCTATTCTGCATTTCCCTACCATTTCTTTGTATCAATCTAGCTCTCCCTGCCAGTCTTATTTTCTTCTTCAATCAATATCTTTAGACCTTCTATAATGTACATCATTTTAATCCTTTCTCTTCATCTCTTTTTCCGCCATTAGTTTATAAGTCTGTTGTATATGTCTTGTTCCACAGATGAATATCTTACCTGACTTCTTTCCAGGCAATGATGTTAGATTCCCCACATTTTTTTTCTTTCAGCAGTAATTTTATGGAACAACAAAAGACAACCTGCTTAGGACTGAGTAAAGAGGGGGAACCAGGACACCACCAGATCAAGCTTCCACCAAACTAAAGCTTGTACCGCCAGCAGAACTTATCACAGGTTGTGTATGTGTCCTTGACAGCCCATTCCGTGTAACTCTGGCTCCCCCTGGAGGACCAGAGGAGACACACAAGAAAGAGCTGTCACCTTCTGGCCTAACTTGGTCCTGAAGTGCATTTGCCCCTTGGAACTGGAAGGAGCTCTTCCAAAAAGAGTTATTCACATCAGTTGTTGGTATTATTATATTCACTCCATAGTACACTGCAGCTTACGCATATGAAAGACCTCACTTGTCTGCGTGCTACAAATTTGTGTTTCTCGTGGATGCATATTTCATTTTTCCTGTTGATACTGCTTCGATATGCACACACACACACAAAGTAAACATGCATTGGGAAGTCTGAGGATCCAGGACGTCGTTACATTATGCCGTCTATATGCCAGCTAGGGGTCGGCATTAACTTGACGGCACCCAATGAAATAATAATAGGCCTATAAAAACGGAATGATACCTGCGCTATATGGATTGCTGTAGATAGTTCATATAGAGACTGAGAGACTGAACGGGGAAATATGTAAATGTGGACAGGGGACTGTTTGTGTTTGTATTTTGCTTTGAACAGCTTTGTGTTGTGGTTCTCTGGGACAGTGGACCTCCATGCATTTTGCATTTGAAAAACGATTGTAGGCATGGTGATCTGGAGCCCCCGTGAGGGAAGCAGGCCCCCCCCGAGAGTGGGTGTTGTGTCGGGTGTACTGTATTTATTCCTGTGGTGACATTTGGGTTTTCCATAAAGCCAACAGGCTATATTTCTGACGACGGTAGCCCGTATTCGAAGCAGGTGCATTGCGCGTGCTGTGGATTGTATTTTGGCACTGTCTCTGGCGTTAGGGGAAGGGGGGGAGGGTGAGTCACCTAAACTCCCCACGCCTTTCAATATAGACTATCGAAATATTGAGATGAACACAAAGGCCGATACTATGTTTTTAATTTGTCGAGATTAAATGGGAAAATAACATGTAATGAGATTTAGAACTCCGTTAGAGCCAAGAAAAATGATCAGTTTGTCAGTCATAGCTTGTAAGACCTTAACAGCAAGTCTTAGTTTTATTAAAGAAACAAGTCTACTGTACCCTGGAACAGTAAACATCACACTCATTAACATTTATCATTGTGGCTACGAGCAGAAAAAAACAAAAATCATATATGTTTTTCGGTGTCAAACCATAAGTAAAATAAACGCCAACAACACGACTCTGAGCAGTTCTCGCCACTAGAGGGCACTGTTTGCCTCTAACATGGGTTTGGGCGATTCTCACCAGGTTGTTCAGCGTTTCCTCCACTATGCTGCGTTGTGGCTCAACGAATAAACTGAAATCAAGCGTATAATATTATATATGAAAGCAATTTACTTCGTGTAGAAATGCGTCGTCTGTCCCACACTTAATCAGAAATATTCGTTTAAAAAAAAATCTAGTTGGAAATCCGATTGCAGAAAAAAAGTACTTACTGAAATTCCACATAGTGTCGTTTTGTTTAATCATTTTCCATTATACCACCATATACTATAGTGCCTAGGTCCGCCATTGTGAGATTTTAATGAAGGACACCTAGATTAAACATGCAATGATAATCTCAAAATCACGCAGTGCACAGTCCCAAAAAAAAAATCGCGCGGACGTTTCTGTGTCACATCAGATCTTAAATCTGACCTTCAATGCCGCTCTTCACCCATGAAGAAGACGTCCCGTGAGAGTTAGTTACCGGCAGATTTTCAATAAAAAAGGCATATATTGAGGAAATCCCCCATGCGAATTGCATCCATCAGGTTGTCCGTGTGGTTCACGTTTGTCAGCTTTTCTTTCCCATGCGTATGCTGCCGTGTCCACCAAAATACAGGGAAAAGATTCATTGTGAGTGTAATTTCGCAAATATGATTAGTTTATCAAACGGGTGCATATGTTTTTGAAAAGTCTATTATTAATTTACAAGCGTTGCGAGCGGTCAGAGAATTGATTTGGTGTAATTGGCCACGGAGGGAGTCCACAGCAGTTTGTGATTTTTAGAGTATTCTGGAAAAATTAGATGTCAGTGCAAATGTGAGAGTCCTCTTCGATTTTCCGAAAGATATAATGAATTTGTGAATATTAAGCATAATATTTCCACGATCGGAGGTATGTTGTTTTTATTACATGAAACCAAGGTTTGGGTTCTTTTTTTAAACCAGATTACGGAGGCGAGTCGGATTTGTAGAAGAACCAGCGCTGCGGTTATTTAACCTTGGAAACCTGTGGCGAAGAGGTTTGATCGGGGATCAAGGTCGCGTCGGTGACAAGGTCGTGTGTGCTGCTGCGTCTGACAGCTGTCTTTGGAGCAATCCTGTGTTGGTACGTTAAACCTGCGTCTCGGGTGTGAAAGGGCAGGAGATGATGCTAAAATCCCCTGCAACAGGTGAGCAGCACGACTCCGGTTACCTGCGACCACAGTCGTAGGTTTAGTGTCCTGGAATAAGCTGGTGTCTCCTTTCCTTAAGGGAAAAATAGCTGGTTTAAATTCAACAGCACTAATTCCTATACTAACCGCAGCCCCTTCACACACCGTTTTGAAGTAGTTCCACACTCTTGAGCATGACACAAATTTGCAGCCGATTTAGAGGTGCTCTTTCACTGTGTCAGTTTCTGTTTGACTGAGAATGCTCGCGCAACGCATGAAAGCTGCCTCCCGCCCTGGCCACGTGCCTCGTCTGCTGCTTCTGGCAGATATTGCATGCATATTGCCTGCAATGCAGTCTTAAATGTCAGCATAAATAAACGGAGCAGGATTATAAATCTGTATCTAATCCCAAGCATTAAAAAAATTATCGTAGCCAAGTGACGTGAGCAAAATAAATAGTAAAAGTTCACCAGCAGTACTTGTGTTTACCACCACTCAAACCATGCACGGGACCCCAAGAATTAGGGGCCCCCTGTCGGCCACAAACAGTCACTACACTAGAGCTTGTGGGGAATCCCATTGTGAGGCCCATTGAGTTTTTGATTGAGGCCTTAGTAACAACTAACTCACCCCTGCTTGTGAATGGTATCTTGAGAACAGTCAGTATACATGAATATACAGTATACATGTGTTGTTTAACGTCCTTCCGCACAGAGCCTGATCGCATATACACCCAAAGTCCCATAAGGCTAAAATAGAGCTCAAATATCCTGATCGACTAACGGGATGCAACAGACATAAGTGGTGATCATGCACCATGGGAAGCTGGTGTAATCGGAGCCGTATGATCAATGGTATCGTACCTATCTAACTTATAATACCCATAAAACTTAATGGCGTTAATAAACATGTATACTATGCATTCATGTGCTTAACATAATTTTCTTCATTATTTTTATTATAAGAATTATCTCTGCCATTTCGGCAGCCCGGGTACAGTATAGTTGCAGTGCAGCCTATAGGTTTTATATTGTGTGTATGATATTCGCACAGTGTCCAAGTCACCTAACGTCCAATCGGACAAAACATAACCCAGGCGTTAAGTGACGCATGTCCTGCACTCCGTTTACATTAACTGGGAGTGCTACGGTAAACGCGGACATTGATCTGTGGAGGGGACCACGCCTGTGCCAAGAGCTGGAGAATTGTGCATCAACCATGATGGATCAACACCACTCATTAACAGAGGTCCATCCGTCCGTCTGTCCATCCATCCATTCATCCATCCATTCTTTGTGGGGATTAACAGAAATACCTCTTTTTACTCTTTAAATAGTGTATTTGAAGTCAGCAAAAGTTACTTTTATCATGCTGTTCCGAAATCCCTCAGGATTTTTGCATTGGCAACTATTGCCATTATTCAACACATCAGTGGATTTTGGGCACTTGATTTGATGTGGTTAGGTGTAAGGAAAATGCTTCATTTGAAATGTGTTTCTATGGTATTTTAGATTGAAATAAAAATATATGAAATAAAACCAAGCACAATGTGACAAAATTAATATTATTGGCTGTGTTTTGTAAACCTGACTATTACTTCGTGTTAGCCTCTATTTGGAATTCTGTTCCTTCGATACAGTCTTGCATTTCTGCGCATGTATCATTCTCGTTGCATTTGAATATCTATATTTAGTCCTCATGGACACATACACAAGAGAAAACACAAAACAAGAAATATTTGGTAGGCACACTTCATCCTGACACTCTGGAATATGATTTAATTTGTCCTCATTAAAAGCTTAAAAGTCCATGAATAAGTAATAATTAAATATGATTTTTTTAGGTTTTATGTGTTACGTGTGTTTTGGTCAGATGTAAAAAAATGCTCCCCTAAAGCATCCTTGTGCTCCACCCCCCCCCCCCCATAGCAAATCTGTGGTTTACACATGGTTCAAGATCAGGCTGTACATCAATTGCTGCAAGGAAGAAAAAAACATTGGACCTTTGAGAGGGTTGTTAGGAAATGACAGTGGATGTGGGTTGTTTCAGGCCAGTGCTAATTGAATATGTAAGCAAAAGGAAACTTAAAAAAAGAAGGAGAAGAAAGGAATCCTGGGAATCCAGTCCCTGTGGTTTAATTATTTTAATTATCGTCCTCTTTTTAGATATCCGGGGGAAAAAATGGGGGCTATTACAGGACGCCCATTTGGGTTAATCTGATTAAAAAGTGAGACTGAGAGAGAGATAAAAGAGTGCGGGTGTCAGAGCCAATCAGGGGAGTTACAGCGGCTGCTTGGGAACTGGGCCGTTGGCGGGGTGAGGCCGCCGGGCGCCTCCATGCAAAACACCTCACTCTTCCTCTTTTTTTATTATTCTTCATTGCCATCAAACAGACGTTGCCCTAATTTCTCCCCTCCTTCTCTGCCCCGGCTGCATATTAACAGACACTATGCTTTTGTGCTGAGGTATGGCAGGATAAAATTGCTTAATGGGAGATGATGAAATTGTTTAGAAACCGCTAAAGGTGCAACCGGCGCGTCGAGTCTCCTTGTCACTATTCTGTTTCAAAGACTGGCCCGTCCTATTTTTGGCAACAATTAAATCAAAGAGGTAAGGGCCACTTAAAAATGTTTGTTTGAATTAGTTGATTTGTTTGTCGTCTTAAATACTGAGCAGCACTTCAGTAATGTTGCACAAACGGTCCCATTTCTGTTTGGTAAAATGCTCTAGGTTCAGTTCCCCCAAATCTATACATGAAAGGCAGAAATGGTGCTTGCTACCCGTTTTCTGGAATACTGCATTTCCATAATGGCGTGCAACTGCTGAACCGCTGCTCCCCACGATGGGAATGGCTCCCAGCACTGTGACCTGACCTGACGTTTCGGGTTTGAGTCTCTGCATGTTACGTTAATGGGGTTTTTGGGTTGGTGCGGAGCCCCGAATAGGCTGTCCGAACATGGTCCTGTCACTGGAGTGGGATTTGCCAGGGATCCATGTGCTTTGGGTTTGCCCAGGCCTGTGTGAGTGTGTATCTATCACTCCCCCTGCTGGTGCTTTCTGTCTTCCCCGGCAGTCTTTCCTCAAGGTGACATTTCAATGCAGACCTGCATACATGGCCAACCAGCACAGAAACACACCCCCCCCCCCCCCCGCCGCCCCCAGTCCAAACCCGACCCCCAGTCTTCAACTTCCTGCTGGGCTGAGTGACACTAGGGTCAGTGCCTAAATACACTGTCCTGTCTCACATGAGGGTAGGGGGGAATTGCTGCACCCGTCAAAACACTCAGTTCACCTCAGCTGACGAAATGTCATTCGGGCTGAAAAAAACGTGCTTAGCGGCCTTTTCGCTACACCTCACCCCAACCAGTAGGGGTCAGTGGAGGAGATGAAAGGAGGCTTGTTTGGACAGGAACCTGAGCAGCGAGCGTCACACACACCATCTTCTCTTTCGACTCACGTCGTCCTTCTTTTTTGCCCATTCCCTCGCTGACAAATATGGAACTCCTGGGTGTAATGGCTCCTCTGTGCTGCGTCAACCCCCCCCCCCCCCCCTTCCTACCCCACCACCCCAGGTGAGTAGAAACTTCTAGAATCTATCCCGCCACACACAGACACACCAGCCTGTCTCACTATGGCATCAGACTGGCGTGATAGAAACACCTATCTAATCCACGGAGAGTTCATTTTTATTTTTTATCGACTCTTTGATCTTCGTCCACCCGGTGGCTCATGTTGGCCTTGAAGGAGAAGGACAAAGGCTGGGCTGCGGTCCTTGGGGTTTGGTGAACCTGTCTGATCTTCTCAAGGTACCGGGTGGGGGTCCCTGTTGCCCCCCACGCGTTCCATGCCACCCCACCGGCTTCCTCGCAGCTGCAGCAAAGTCTGTGTCGCTGCGTTGGGAAGATGAGCATCCAGATGCATGCTGGGATTCTCCTATCCTGCTGCTGCAACCCCACCCCCCGCCACTCAGCTTCAAGGTCAGCTTGTATCCCTCCGCCCGTTGATTGGAATTTAAATTGGCTGCATTCAGTTATGCCGTTCAGGCCCACGGTAGCTTCCTCATACCCCGGGGCGCCTGCCACATTTAGGGAATCTTTTCCTGGCCACGTCGGAATCTCTGCCAGCAGGGAGTCAGGCTGGTGTCACAGTCCAACAGCAGCGTCCCAGATCTCAGCCAATCGGACTGCGCCATCGGGTATCACGTGATCCTCGGTGCTTTAAACTTTCGACGAATGCGGCGGGTGCCGTCTGTTTCGACGCCCGCTCTGTGCCGCCGGTGAATGGGCGGGTAAATGAAGCGTAAACCAAGGGGGTCTTCAGGCCCAAGTCGCCGCAATGAAACCGCCCGCGCAAATCACGCTTCTTGGAATGGAGCGTGCTGAGGAGGGGAGCAGGCTGCGTGTGCCAGCCATTGCCGGATCCGGCGCGGTTCTGTGCGCACGCCGCCGGCCCTTTAAGGTTACCGCGGCGACGCTTGGCGGCGTAGCGCGACACGATTCTGGAGCCGATCAATAACTTGCACGCCGGTGGGGGAGGAGCTGCGGGTTTCCTAGCGGGATAGAACTTCAGGTGGGGGGTTCTTGGGGGGTGGGGGGGGTCTGTGCGCTTGCATATGTTAATCCTCCGGCTGAACGATGATCAAAGGCTGGAACAAGCCGGGCGCCTCTCCTGGCCTCAGGCAAACTGCGCTATCCAGCAGTCAGGAAGCTGCCCCAGAGAAGTAAACAGACAGTTATAAAAATCAATATGGCGGGTTTAAGTTCCGCTAGGGTAAGTGTCTGCGGTGGGTGTTTGGGGCAGGGGGGGTTACTCTGAGGGTATAAGCCCAGGATAGAGAGTAAGTGTGTTTACCACATTTAAGTAGTGGTTTCCATGGCTAAAGCCTTCTCTTGTTGTCTAGTTGTCCTCCAGGGCTCTCCATTCCCCAGCATCAACATCATATTTCACTTCTGTATTTTGGCAGGAATGTGTCAGCGCAAGTGAAACGTTAAGAACAGAAACACACGGTCCGCTCAGGGCTGACCCAGGGCCCGGCAGCTTCTTTCTGTTTATAAACGCAGCGACGCCTTATTCGGGAAGCGAACACGTGTCCGGCTGCTGCAGTCGTCGTGACGATTAGGTGTCCTGGCCGATGCCTCTATTGAAAGTGACGTCCAGTTTCATCCCTGTTGCACCTGATGCCTACTGGTGGACTGCTGCCCGACAGTGGGAGCTGCTAGTAGAATGTTCCAGAAACACACCTTCCAGAAACTCTCAAAATGATCCCCACCTCCACCCCGTACTGCATTAATGGAAGAAGAACTAATGGAAGCAGATCTTTTAAAGCGAAAGGCTACCTGAGGGCCTTAATTGTTTTATATGTTTATTGGTGGCTAATTCATAGTAATAGCTGTTCACAGTAAGAGCTGCTCCCCCTGCTGGCTGGGGGGTGTTGGATCACAGTGTGGGGATGTGCCGACAGGTAACAGAGAGTGTTCTGTTGGGTCTGGGCTGGAGGCTGCCTTCCTCTAACCGAGCGTGTTTTCAGCCGCTACCTATTTCTGTGTGGAACATAAATAAAATATTGCTTCACAGTTTTCAGGCTGTTGATCTGTTTCACTTGTGAAAAACGAAAGTCTGTACAATATAAAGAAACATAACGACAGAATCCAGAAACAACAAGGCAATAGATTAAACCAATTTAATGATATCGATGAAAAAAGTTTAGGGACCATTGGGACAATAAGCAACCAGTTTAGATGGCATTTCTTACCAATTGTTGAACTGACAAGCTTGAATGATGTAAAATAATCAACGATGATGATGATGAATCGCATCCAGGGTGCCCCTATCTTGTAGCCTGTTTTTTTGGGATAAGCAGTTATGGATAATATAAAATGATAATAGCTGCCTTTACGGTGGAACATGCTAAGCTGGTTGCACTCGCTCTGACTCGGACGTCCCCCTCTCAGGTACCAAAAGCGGCTGTGAAAGTCAGAACATGGCGGCCGTGGTGATCTGGCAGCTGGCAGGCGATCAAGGCGTGGGACGGCGATGGGCGAAGCAGGACCTGGGGGGCCCGATCGGCGGCACGCCGCGCCAGCTCCCTCAAGCTGCCCCCCGTGCGAGATTCTGGAACCGTGGCTGATGAAATATGCATGGGGGTCGTCCGGCACGGTGCCACCGGTACGTCGCGTTCTCTGGCTCTCCGTGCGTATTTATTTATTTTCTTTTTTTTGTTCTATGAACAAATAAAAGTGGCTACAGCAATTTTGTCTCAGAAATGATTCGCATGAGGAGGAAATGAAGGGTTGGAGGGGTCAGTTTTATTTTCCGACTGGCATCTCTATAGCCACCCTGCGACTGGCATGCTGTCCGGGGTGTCCTCTACTTCCTAGGATAGGTTCCAGGCCCCCTGTGATCCTGTACTGGGTAAGCAGTTTGGATGGATGAGTGGGTGGACTGATGGATGTTTAGAATCATTGTAATTGGCTTAAAGTACTTCTTGTGCTTAGACATTATATGTACAGCCTGCTTTATTTGCTTTGCAGAATTATTTATTGAAACTGGTTTTATGGGTCCTTAAAATTATCTGAATTAGAGTGGTTTGTGTCACTACTGGAACTCAAGCTGGATGGCATCCCGATGCTGTTGTGTAATGTGCAACTTAACAAGCTCCAGTCCTCCCACTTTGCTCGCAGACAAATTTTAAGCAAATTATAATGGTTGATTGAGTGCTTATTTCCAGATTTCCAATAGTATTACCCTTCCTGGGTCTTACACTCATAACCTCCCGGTCCAGTTCTATTGTCCACCACCTCACATGACACATTATATGCACTCGAATTGTAGGAACCAGCCACGTGTGAGGCAGTGGTTTAGACCTCTGATCAGAAGGCTGCTGGTTCTAATCCCATCCTCAGCAGAATAGTCGCATCTCTGTTGGACCCTAGAACAAGGCCCTTAATCTTTCACAAAATGTTCCAACGATGCTAGATAAATGGCTTGGGCCCCATACGTCATTCTCACCTGTATGTGGGTGTGTCTGGGATAAACGAAAGCATTCCAATACACCTGTACTTGTGCAGATGGCAAATAAAGCCTGTATTCAGGATCTTCACTCTGCATGCAGACATATACAATGCCTATACACAGATCCATCGTGCTCTCTCCTGCCGGCCTCAGCACGCCTCCCGCAGTGTGCTCGGCGCGTATCACGCCACCGCTTGTTTATTTACTATTTATACTGCCACGGAAAAAAAACGAGGGGAAAAATGTGGCTGTTTGGAGACCCTGCTTAGTCCTGAAAGAGGAGGAATATGAATCGTTAACGCTGGAAGCCCAGTGCCAGCGGATAGCAGATAGCCAAACGGGGGAAGAACAAATAGAATGAATGAAAAGGGGAGTGGGGGTTCCTTATGAGGAGGGTGGGGCGTGATAACCAAAGGGAGAGGCTCACAGGCTGGAGAGACCGTGTGGAGGATTCTGACCGGGGGTCGCCTTGGTGACATGATCAGCCAGTCCGGAAGCTTCTGATGGCCTGGTCCCTTCTGTTTTTGTTCAAGTGTTTTATTGTTCTGTTCGGTGAAGCATTTCCCTGTTGTGTTTTGTTTTTTGGCATGTTTGTTTTTTATGATATTTGACAAGAATAATAATCAGTGCAGTTCCTATGACTTTCATAATTACCTGTTTACCAAGGGAAAAAAGACACAATGGCTGTAAATGTACCAGATGTTCTTGCAAATAGTAACCTTAGTAAACTGCTATTACCTGCTTTGATCTGTGAAGTTTTACAAGCAGACTTGTCAGTTATTAGAAAAAAAAATGCTGGAAACTGGAAAAGTGATGGTGTGGAGCCATCTTAAGACACACCAGGATATCTCTGCTTCTTACGGTGATGAAAAAAGCCAGGAGCAGTTTTATAACAATGGGCAGTCACACACATTACAGATGGAGTTACAGATGAGCAACTGGTTATTGACAATTAGCATGATCTTCCTGCTGTGTAGAAATCTTTAATGAAATTAAAGCCTGTTAATAAATTTTATGTATAATAATCAGTTACACTCTAGGATAAGTGTAGCAGCTTTTATGGATCCAATTTTTAAGAAATGAATATGTATCATGCATTCATTCATTTTAATAAAATCTGCCCACTGCTTTTATGTTCATGCAGTTATGCTGATGGTATCTGGTACTTGCAGAAGCATGATTTATACAAATTAAGAACGAATTAAAATAAATTTAACTAGTGTGACAGTTTTTGGATGCAGGATCACTTTATGGTGCCACTCTGACTGAGGATCAGTGGAGGTCAGTCATTTTCTCAGTGACCAGTGATGACCTGGGAGATACCTAGAGGAGAAATGGTGTAGCTCTCTGTAGTTCCACCTGGCTGTTGATGCCGCTTCCTGGACCCCCCCCCCCCCATAGGGAATGTGCCTTCCTAATAGAAAAGAAAACACACAGACGATGATTAGCTGATTAGCACTGCAGTGACTAATTATCTAATTGTAGAGTGGAGCAGGTGGGGGCAGGGGCTCCTCCACCTTGCCGAGGCCTGCCCTCTGCTGCCGGCTCCCTGGCCTGCTGTTCCACTCCCTGGGACATCTGCTCACAATCCCCCCCCCCGCCCTCATAGCGACCTCGGACACCCCCGCCCCCAAAGCTGGGCAAGACACCCCCCTGGTGCAGATGTTGCACTCCGTAGGGGCCCCCCCTCTGGCTCGTTTGATGTGTGATGAAACGGAATGGAGCGCGCCACTGTGGGGGGACGGGGGAGGCGGGGGACAGGGCCGGGCATGCGGCGCGTGTGAGGGGTGAGGCGAGGACCACAGCCCGCTCATTAGAATTTCAATCGGGACTCGGCTCTGGGCCGGGACACCCCCACACCAGAGGGCGGAAGTCCCCGTGGAGAAGCAGGGAAAGGTGTGCGGACCTGCCATCCCCCGTCCTCTCTCTCCCTCCCCCATTCCCTCTTTTTCACCCGTCTCCTGGCTGTCATGTAGGGTCACACCCCCTCGCTCAGGTGTGTCGCCCCGTTTACCCATCTCCCGGACGGGCGGCTGAGGGGCCGCGAGGCGCTGGGGGTTGGAGTGGGGGGTGCTTTGGGGTACACACCGGCTACGGCAGGCGGCTGATGACCATATGCGGCTTCTCGCGGTCAAGCTGGGGAGTGGTGGTGCGAGAATTGGCAGGCTGGTTAACCTTCGGTCATATGGCCATCCTCGCCACGGACGTGGGTGTCTCCTACCTGCTTTTGCGGGTGAGATCAGAGGAATGCACTAAGGGCTGAGGGAACATTGGCACTGCATCCATACAGAGACCCAGTCGGCACCCATTCACAGCTAGACCCACGTCCCCGGGGATCCCCAGCCCCGGCCCCCCCCCTCCAAGAGACTCCGTGCTCTCATGTCCAGGTAATAAACTTCTCGCTACCCATGACTTGTGCGCCGCTAATTACCGCTAGGCTCCGTCACATGTGACACGCTCCGGATGGTGCGACAGCCCCGTGCACGGAGTCTCAAACACCCCCGGCTTTGTGGGCTGCAAAAAAAAAAAAGAAAATGGGGGGGTGGGCGGAGGAAAGAAGCAGAGGCTTAACAAGAAATCGGGAGCCTGGGCGCGAGTGGAGCTTCAGGTAAAGCACAGGGTACGTTAACCATTAGATATCAAAGTGGAGAAAAAACAAAAGGCGGGATTCAAAGAGGCAGCGGTAGCTTGGCATCACCCCCCCCCCCCATACACGCCCACCCCCCCACCCCTCTGACAATACTTAGATCTATAAATGTTTGTTTTTATTTATATATTTCCCAGATTATTCATGGCAGTCGTAATTTGGCCCTAACAAGCACATGAGGGAGACGCAGGCTGCCTTTGCTCCGCCGCTCCTCCGCACGCCAGGCTCTGGGATTTAGGAGAATATTAGAGAGCGCTCCTTTTTTTGTTCACGACTAATGAATGAAACCGCCCCCCCTCCCACCCCACCGCTCTCCGCACAGTTAACAGCGAGAGTTTGGAGACACTTCCAAGGTCTCCTTGCCTTTAAAACCCTCCCCGCATTCCCGCCTAAAACTTTTCTCACCCTTCCAGCTCAGTGCACCCCCCCCCCCCCACCTCACCCCGCTTTAAATACAGATTGTCTTAATTAGATGAGAATGTACAAGTGTTTTTTCCCGCCCACAGATATGTGAATTGTGTAATTCTCCTGCCGGGTTGTGCATCAGCACTGTGAAACTTAAAGTTTTCTCTGTGAGTCAGCATCATTACCAGTAATATTTCATCGTCTCCATTCTAATCTCGTCTTAGTTCAGAGGGGGAAAAAATGTTCATTTTCTCTAAAACAGCAATTTTACACATTATGCACCTGAATGTACAAACTCCTCTCAGGTGTTTTAGAAGTGCTGCTGCTGTTTTTTTTATCTGTCCACATTTATATGTGGAAATGGGATCTTTTATAACTGTGAAACAAGCATTTAGTTTTAGATATAGAGCCTGTAATCTCAGATACGAAATTAGTGGTGTGATATTCAGTCTTGAGTAGAGATTAAGGTCATCACGTTTTTTGCCTGGTGGATGTTTGTGTGTGGCATGTATATACTACATTAGGGGGACTAAATGCCCCCCATAATGTGATAAAAACCTGTTATTTTGACGTTGTGGGGAGCATTTTTCCAAATAACTTTTTCATAAAAATCTGTGACTGCAAACAAAAAACTAAAAATGGCAAAACTCTTGTATTGTGTTTGGTTACTTATGGTTAAGGTTAGGGCTGGGTAGGGGTTAAGGACGTCATAGATGGGATTAGGGTTACGCACATAGGAATGAATGGAGAGTCCCCACAAAGATATGAGTACAGGTCTTTGTGTGTGTGTGTGAGATGTGGGGGCGGGGGGGTTGTTATCTTTATCTGCCAAATCTCTATTTGCCAAATGCGGCGCCCTCACCTTGCCTGTCCCCTAAAGCTGGCCTGGTACCCCCACCTTCCTTCAGTCACTGCCACACCCCCCCTTCCACCCGACGACCCAGAGACCTCAGTCTCCCGCAAGGAGAACCACAGTTCAGTTTGGTCCAGCCGTCTTTTGTACTGGAGATTTAAGTGCTGAGTCATAGTACTTGTTGTCCTGTTGTCTGTTGTGTTTTTTGCTTTCTGGCTCAAATGAAACACTCTAACAGGCTGGGTAACTGGCAGCATGCTCGCTTTCTTAGTGATAAAGGCATTCCTATTTTCACTCGGAGGGATGCCCGGAAAGGTGCCCAGCACTGTTGCCTTGGAAACAGACCCGTGCCCACACACATTTTCTAATGTGAAATGGAGTACAGCTGAGTGTTATAACGCCGAAGGGGTGGCGGACACGTCCTGCAAAAGGTCAGTGTCACCAGGCAGGAGGTCGGCCGCCTTGCTGGGCTACGAAAGCCTCGCTTCATTGCCCGGCTTTCTGAAGCAGAGCGCCCCCTGCTGCTAGGAATGCGGCATGACGCATGAGGGGGGCAAATGGAATGGCAACTCCTTCAAGAGCTGCTGAAACCACCTCCCTCCCCTCGCTCCCCCAGCCCCGTCAGCCTACCTGAGTGAGCGGCAGACCTGCCCACGGCGAAGCCACAGGCAATGAACATCTCGTGTGGGTCCCAGCCAGGATCAGCAACTGTCACCAAGCCCATTAGAGCCCTCTGACTGTAACCCATCTCAGAATTATGCTGCCCCGCTTGACAAAATAATTGTCATTTGCTCTCCTCCTGTCCCCATCATAATGAGGCGGGGTGAGTGGGGGGGGAGGTGCAGAGCATCTTTAGACCATGTGAAATTTTTCGTTTCTGCCATTTTCCTCGCATGCCACGGAAACGGGAAAGTGCCCATCTCCCGTCCTCCGTGAGACATCCTATGCCGCTCAAAAAGCGAGAAACTGAAATGATCCCGCACTGTCGGTAACCTACGATCTCTCTGTTTCCCCCTGCAGACAAATGAAACATAAGCTCGGTGACACAGTACGTTTGAAAAGCAGCCCCTGACCCCGCTTCCCGGACCGTGATGCCAAAGATCAAATCCGTGCTTCGCTACGTTTCCCAGCCTTAACTGCGGCTTAAACCCGCTAATGGCACAAATGAATAATTAATCACGTCTGATTTGCCTGATTGCCTTAAAACGAGGGAATAAAAATATTGGTGTGGTGGGGGGGAGCTATAACCATTAAGAATTCATGATTTGTGATTGAAATATAAACCGTGATAAAAACCATCGGCTGTCGCTAATTAAAAATGCAGTTTGATACGGAGGTTACCACTTACTCCTGCTTCATCGCTCTTTTTCCTGACGTTTTATCTCATTATTATTTTTAAAACAGCCCCCCCCCCGGGCGATCCGGTAGTTCGTCGGCGCAATCGTGAACGGCGGAGGCACAAGTCATTAGTTTTAATTAAGCTGTCGTTAATTACTAAACGTTAGGAGGCGTCACGTGGAGAAGCGGCGCCGCTGCCGTGAGACATGAACGTAAACAGCTGCCGGGGGTGGGGGGTTATTATGACTGATCGGTTATTTCTTTATGGGGCTATATGAAAAATAATTAATGCGGCATTAACAGTAGCCTTCTGATTTTTTTCTTTTGGCATACAGTATCGTTGCAAACGTTTCCGTGTCGAGCACCTTTTTCACGTTTGACTTTAGGGTTTATGTGCAGGAATGGCAGTAGGATCGCACCCAGCACCAGGCCGGCCTTGCTTCCTCTCTGCTTGAGATTCCTTCTGGAGTCATCAGGTGTAGTTTGGGTCAGTGGAGGTGCTGTGGCGGTATCTTAAAGCGCCGTGCTTTACTGGATGTTCGATGCCGACTGGGCTGTGGAAAAATTTGTTCGTTTACAGACAATAAGCTGTGATTTCCCTCCCGCGAATCCACTGGTCTAATTTCCAGGACAGCCAGAGAGGCTGCTCTTTCTCCCACTGTAAACACCCTTTACATATCATTACCTTGCCGCGCTCTCATCCTGATCTGTTTTTGAATCTGTAATGAGCCTCTTCCTCTCTCGCTAACCCCCCGTCCCCCCCGCTGTCCCTCTCTGATGTCCGGTCCCGCGCACATGCGACGGCTGAGTGCGAACTCATTACTGCACGCCGTGAGGCTGCACGGCGCTCGGGCGCAGAAGCACATCCCAGGTCTATGGGGTGACCGGCTTTTTTCTTTTTTGCTATTAGTTTTTTTCCATTTTGTGCTGTGGAATCACGGAGCAGGGGGGGCCAAGGGATATAGCCGGTGCCTCGTGGAGTGTGCGTGGACAGCACGTTGGATGGCGGAGCTGCATGTTTCTCCCGCACCACGCGAGGACACACGCACACACCTGGGAATCTGCGGCTCATTTAAAATGTGTTCGCATCTGTGTCTGGCTCTCTGCGCATGAGGGTTCTGAACCAATGCATATTTAATGTCACGACATGCCTGCTGTCGACCCGTTTCCACTCTGTCCCCGAGAGGTGACCAGATATCCCTCCCCCCCCCCATCATGAAATGTACAACAGCACATAGGCACATGAATTCAAAGAAGAACCAGTGGTTTACACAGCTACCCCCCCCCCCCCCCCCCCACGCCCTATGTCTCTGAAGTCGAGAGTTTGGCTGATTGCAGAGCCTACATGAAACACCAGGAGGCGCCACCCACAGCTGGAATCTCACTGTTTCTGAGTGTGTGGCGGCTCTGTTTCCAGCTGGGCCAGTTTTTTGGGGGCACACCTGTGACATGTGATGATAACACATATGGGGGGTGGGGGCAGTCCTTAATTAAATAATATTTGCCTTCTGTGTAAAAATCGGCTCTGTCCATCACTTACGAGCACATGCCCCCACAGCCATTTCAGCTGCATTCTTTCTCTGCTCCCCCCCAGTGAGCGATGCCATGCTATCATGCCCCTGATTGACTGCATTTATTTTTTTACTAGTTCAAGAAAACCCACCCGGAAGCCTTGGAAAGGGTTGTATCTTTGTGTATATTTCTGCTCCGTTTTAATTGATGCTTTAATTGCGATTGCGGCTCATTTGAATGTGCAAAGGTGCAGGCGTTGCCTTGCAAAGGGGCCTAAGAGCAATTTCCGTTTGGGTCCCCCAGTCATGCCAGGTGCTGGTCCGGTTTCTCGGGACGCCAGCTCCTCAGGGCCCGGCTGGTGCTTCTCATCAGCCACCTCTCTGCTCTTCTCTGACCGCTTCCACTTCCCCCTGGCTTGTAAGGTTTTCGTTTGAGGTCCCGTCTGATCGTGAGAATCTCACTGTACGGTGATGTCAGAGAGAGAGACAGGCACGCTGCCTGCCTGCCAGTAACTGCGCACGCAGACGTCGAGATGCACTGAAATGCAAACCGCTAGCAGCATGTTTACAGATGCGTGCATCTCGAGGGAGGCACAGACAGCTGCGTTAATGCTGGTGCCTGTTTACAGAGGCGCCGAGACGACCGGGCTGGGGGGGGGGCGTCCTCGCTGATGCTGAGCGGAATCCCACCCCGTGCCCTCCTCACCTCCTCCATCTCATGCAAATGAAAGAAGGTTCTAGAAGGATAGTGCGAAACCCAGCCACTGCCATCACGGCCATTTGAGAGAGCGACCGCCGATGCTGGAGCACATTTGCCATTTCATGGGGAGTCTTTCGTGGCAACGGTACTTAATGCCTCCTGCTCCATGTCGCGTCTCCCTCCCTAATTGGAAAGCTATGGCACTGAGTGTCCTTAAGGGGGCGCCTCGCTTTGCAGAAGGGGAGATTACCACAGAGATGCTACAGATGCTACAATCTGAGACGGAGAAACCCCCCCCCCATGTTTGCACACTTAATTACCAAATTAAAATGCCAACATGACGATGCAATGGAATTCTGCTAATGAGCCAAAGGCATTCTTGTCCTCGTGAACAAACACACCAGCAGCAGGTACTAACGATGAAGACGTCTCCTTTGTGTCCGCTTTTCCGACTTCCTCCTCTGTCCGTCGGAGGGCTCCACTCGCGGGTCGGCCCTCGGCCGGATGCAGTTCACACTCTGTCAGGACGCTGTGGAGGGCGCTGATGAGCACTCTGGGGGCTCAGACACATCCCACAGAGGCCAGAGGGTAGCTGGTATGATCCTACCCCCTCGGTTCTAGCTGTATGATGTTTCGTTGGCTTGGTGTCCCCCCCCCCCACACACACACACTGTGCTGTAACACCATTCTTTGTTTAATTGCCCTGCTCAGTCTGCCATCCATCACACCCCTGAAAGACCTCCCCCCTCCCCCTTCCTGACACCCCCCTCCCTCTCTCGTTCACTCGCTCTCTGTATTCATGAATTCATGAGTTCATGTTTGTGCGAAAACTCGTGCACACAGGGGGCAGGCATGGAAAACAAGCAGAGGCATCATCGCAAGAGGGGTCTATCCGCACCACCGGGGGTGGGGGGGGGGTCCGAAGGGACCTGCCGGCGTTGTTTGTAGACCTCGAATCTCTTCCTCTCTTTCTCTAAATATTTTCTTATTTCTTCCCCTCTCTGCCCCCCTCCCTGTACCTTTTGTAGTCCCCCCTCCTTCTCTTCATGCTCCCCATCCGCATCTTGCCCCCCCCCCCCCATTCATCTCGCCCTCCCTCGTGGTGTCGGTGCAAGTCACAGGCAGAAAAAAAAAAATGCTCTGAGCCTTAAATAATTTACAAGTTGATTAATAGACTCACAGGGGTATAATTAGACCAGGGAGAGACAGCGTGTGCTGTAACCAGTACAGTGCTTTGGGGAGTTAAAGGGGGGGATTATTAAGGAAATAAAAACTACTGCTACAGTTAAAGAAAGGGAGCAGGAGGGCTGGGTGGGAGGGGTGAGTATAGACCCTTTCTGCGGCTACGCGGCGTTTGAAGCCGTTTCTTCAGGAGCAGGAAGGCGGCACTCGTTTGATGTGGAAATTGGACAGTTTGAAACCGTCAGCTTTAATTTTTCACCAGCTACAGGCTGCCTCTTGGGTGTTGCTCACGTTTCTTATAGGAAAATAAATTCTCCTCTGCCCCCCTTTACATTTCTCTCCTTTTTTCCTTGCATCTTCCTCAAATCCGCCCCCCAAAACCACCATGCCTGACCTCTGTATCGGGCAGCCATTTTGCCCTCCCTTCACCAGCAATACCCACAATCCACTGAGGCTACTATTTTCCCTGTTTGTACCATGTTGCTCATCTTCAAAAGGATTTCCAGCAAGAATTAGGATTTAAATCTGTGTTAAGGATTTTCGGTTTTCTCCGTCATTGCCTGGGATGCATCATTGCACATTCAGCAGAAGATGTCTTCCGATGGCTGGCCGTTTATGTCTGCATATGGTCCCGACAAACCGATCGGTGCTTTGACTTGCACTGCACACGCGGTTCTCCCTTTTTTCTCTTCCATCACCCCGCCCACCAGCTCTTTCCGTTTCATATCCAATATCTCAAGCCTGCGGCTCCCAGCCCCACCGCCGCACCTTCCAGGAGCGTATGAAGGGGATCCCGTCTCCAAACAAGCCCAATATGCCTGTAGATCTGAGGACGGCGACAGGGTACCTGTCTTCCTGCGTGTCGGCCTGTCAGCTCTCATTTAGCCCTTCTGTTCTTCCCATTTCCCGCCGTCTGTCTCTCCCAGATGTTGTTCTCGGTGTCAAAATGGATCCCAGTGAAAAAGAGCGAACGTGTAACACGTTCCTCTGTTTGTTCAAGCTGATGCACTTTGAAATTCAATTTAGTTTTTTTTTTTACACTTTTTATAGCTGGTAGAACCATTACAAAAAAAAGAGCTTTGCAGGAAACCCGTGTCCATGTTCTTCGCCGACTGAAAACTGCTTGATTACTTGATGTTTTTTTAAAATAACTTGGAATAATTTGACTTTTTTTTTTTTACAGAAATTGGGACTTTAAAAATGTTTTTTTGTTTTCAACATGTACCTTTTCTGATCGGTCATTTGTGTTCAGTTTAAAAACCGACACCAGCCATTTGTTTGTTTGTTTGAAAGAAATGAATTGAATGACAGCACAGCCTCCTGTCATTGGCCACCACAAGATGGCACTGCAGAAATCACCATTGATGCATCTGTCTCTGTCTGTGGTGCAGCAGGCTTCCCTGATAAACGAAGTGTCATTTGGGCTATGACAAGGTAACCAGTGGGGTTTCTGCCCTGCGGGCAGGGTTCCATGCCCCACTGGTATAACTGGGTAATGGTGCCATCTCCGAGGCATGGCAGATGAGAGCTTTCTGAAAATGCATGTTATTAATCTACCCCAATTCCAACAACGTGACAATAGTAAAAAAAAAAAATTTGGTCTGGCCTGAACTTTATACCAAGGAATTTGAAGCAAAATCGAATTTGGATTTGGACTTTGGTCATTAGCTTATGCTTTCAGAAAGCAATTTTCTGGATGTGCCAGATATATTCCATAACATGGGCCACATCCCGGAATGTGACACATTCAAGGCAGAGGCTTATTGATTCCCACTGGATATGGAGCAGATTAAGATGCGCTGCAAAGGCACTTGGTATCTGCATGACTGTTCTGCCACCAAAACCCTAGAAGATATACCACATTGTACCTTGATAACAAATACAAACCTAAAATCAAAACCACGTATCTGCATTGGCACCACTTATGTCTGTTGTACTGGGCCCACTGCAAGATTTAGTAC